TCTTTCTGGTCAGCACTGCGGTTGAAAGGATTAAACAAGACGAACAGCTTCTCATGTGTAACTGAAGTTACTCGAGGCAAGGAGAAAATGCACTGAATACCAAATTATTGCAGTTTCTTTCATTTATCAAGCTGTGCGATTCAAAGTCTTCGGTTATTCGGATTTAACCCTTTCACTCCCATGCGTGACCAAGACAGAATTTCTCCTTACAATATCAATACAACATCAAACGGGCAAGTGATGAGAATATAGAAAAATATCTTAGGGAATTATAAGTTGATCCAATATCAAATTCTCTAGACTAACATCACAAGAACTGTATGGCAGGCAGTAAGGAGAATTACCAATGAGATCTTGGGAGTTACAGGGTTAACCCTTTATGGCCGAACATTAATATGCAAGCTCGCCGTAATGTTCTTTATCCATTTTCTACAGTCTTACATGGATAATTTGTCTAACAATAAAGACATTCTCGAGTTCGCGATTATTTCTTTTATTCCCTTGACCTCAATGTTTGTTTCAGGGTTTTTCTCTAGGGAGAAATCAGATGCTAATCACCCCAAGGGGTTAAGGGTTTTGAAATCGAAGAGCATTAAGCGCTCAGACGGAGATTGTCACGCGATCGATGTCTATGTCTGTTTTCTTCCCAGCACGTTCAGGCTTTTGAATACAGGCTAAAAGAAAACCGAAAAATCATTATTAATAGACATATTTAATAGATAACTCTTGAAACAATTTTTTAATACATTTTTTATACAATATTCGGTTGGCCTCTTCCTAGCCATCAGCACTACACAGAACTTCAAACTTACCATATGATTTGCATTTCGCATCTTTTTAAAAGACCCAAATAATCTCTGTTGATAGTTTGCGGATCTCTTTAGATATATTCCATACGAAAACTATGAAATATTAATTGCTTTCTTGCTGTTTAACGAGACTAGAATAATCTCTTTTGTTTTCCCGCAGCCTCCAAGGTTGTTTTCATTGCATTTATAGTTCATGCTGATTTTTCTTCAAATGTTTTTTTTTTTTTTTTATGTACAAATTCGGTATCAACCGTGTATGTTGAATAAAAGAGGCAATAGAGCAAATTTAATTTGACTGAAACTGATGGCGGCAGCGCAATTGTAACGTCTTGACGATAATACCTGATTCCTAACCGTCGAGCTTGCAATTCAGTTTTAAGCATTAACCGTCGTTGCGAAAATCTTTTTAAGTACTTCACCCGGTTAAATCTCGATAAGGTTTGATTACGCAAATGCTAAAGCCTTTAATCTGAATAAACGGAACTGAAGCTTTGAGAAGTTTGAAGATTTTCGCGGCTGGCTCCTCTCCCAAGGTGAAACTGGTCTAGTAGCCATTCCAGTCGAACTTTATCGTCGCTCAATTTTCTCTGGTATTGTCCTTTAAGAACCCTCCTAAGATCCTTTTTTTCGTTAGTGTACTTATTCTCCATTTCAAGTTTGTCTCGCTCGAATTTTAGCCGCAAAGTTTGTATTTCCAGCTCGTAACATTTCTCCAGCTGTTCCTTTTGATATTTCAAGACAGAAATGTCATGTTCGTAACCTTGAATTTCCGACTCGAATTTCAGCTTCTCTTGTTGTAAAATGCGCCGGAAATCCACGTCAAATTTACGCCTGATATCTTCTTTCTCTTTGCGAAAGTGTTCCTCCATGTCAGTCTTTTCCCTCCTAAAGATGTTCATTAAGTCGTTTTTCTGCTGTTTGAATCGCTTTTCCATGTCAATGATTTCCGACGCGAACTGGTGCTCGACTTGTTTGTGTTTATTAGCGTAGTGCGACTGCATCCTGTTCTTTTCTTGGGTCAATGATTTTAACAAGTCCTCTCTGTCCACGCTTAACTCGGCATCTAAGAGCGATTTGAAGTGCATGTCCACCTCAGGTTGCTCATGGTTGTACACTGTTTCCAAAAGCGCGTTTTCCTCCAAATAAATATTTTCCAGATCCCCTAAGCCTTGACACAAAGTTCGCTTTAATTCCTTTTCTACGTCCTCGATTCGTTCGAGTTCTTTGCGTATTGTCGCATCCATTTCTATCTTTTCTGCTCTAAAGCCCTCTTCTTTTTCCTTCAAATTTTTTTCAAAACTTTTCTTTAATTCCTTTTTCTCCCTCTCAAAATTTTCCAAAAGGTTTTCCTTTTCACGATCCCACGAATTCATCAACACTGACTTCTCGTCGTCAAACGACAATTTCAAAACGTGTTTCGCCTCCTGGAATTCCAAGCGAATATTATCCTTTTCTTTCAAGAACGCCTGTCTCATTTCTTCTTTCTCGCATTCAAAAGCCTTTTTCATGTTCTCCTTTTCAGCTTCAAACGCAAATCGCATTTCGTTTTTCTCATCTTCATGGGCGCACTCAACCAGTTCTCGGTCTTGAAGAAATCTGCGAACGATTTCCGCTTTCTCCTCCAGAAACTGTCGCTCTTCGTCCGAGACGTCGAAGAGGTGTCCTTCAGAGTTCTTCGACGAGGACCTTTCCATAGCTTACCATTTGATTTATAAGCTCGAATTTTACAATCTTATTTAAAATCAAAGCGCATTTCACGGCGGTAGAACTCAAGCCGCGCCAGTGATCCTTGATCAAGACATTTTATAGTCGATCGATAATCCGGAAACCCTGCGTGCGCACTATTATAACCACGACTTTCCATTAATAGCTTGTCACTTTTTTAACGTCAAGGCTCTTCTGGTTTTTCAACAGCCAAGAATAACACACAACGGATCCGGTTTTTTTAACGCTCAGCCGACTTAAAAAAATCAGTGATCTGTGAACGACGTCGATAAACACAGTGTAGCTAACTTTCGATTATTTTAGACAAACACTTTTACTTTCAGCCAAATCTGCATATAAATCGATTTTGACGCTATCTAGGACTGAACCAATTGTCGGGTTTTGACAGTGGAATAATTGCTAAAAACACCACCTGGCGAGGCTCAGTCGAAGCTAATTGATTCTACGTTGGTCGACACACACTTTTAGCAAATTTGAAAAGCGGTAGTCATTCGTGAGAAACTTCTTAAAAAATTTCCTTTAGCGAATTAGGGCCAAGAAATAAACAGCTTTGTCTATGCGTAAAAGTTCTCTTTGAAGGCAGAATTAATGTGATACAAATAACCTCTTCACTTAAAGTTGACCTCGACCAATGACAATTCAAGACAGTAAATTTCAAGGTCTATTTATTTTGTGAGAAACGCTTTACAAATTTAAGCCCGATGTCAAGCACTTTACTGTTTGAAAATGAGAAATTAATTCACATACCCTGAGGGAGACAGGTACCCGAAAGTTCATTACTTCTCGTCCTGTCAGTCACCGTCTAGCTTGGAGCTGAGACGTTTGTTTTGAAAACATTTTATTGACAAGCAATCCGTGTTTTAGCCGGTTGAATGATTTAGAAGATACATACACCCACTCGACTTCAGTTGCGTCACCAACTGTACCAAAACATTTAAGCTTGCTGTACTTCTGCGGTTGAATTTAATTTTGTAGTAGAATTTCGTGGTTACTCATTCTAAAAAAGAAGTTTTTATTACGTTGTTAGCCCTGTTTTGTCATGACTCGGCCATAAGCACACCACTCGTGAGGCAAGATAGATTGAAGTTTAATCTCCAGGCAGATTCGAGAACTCAAGCTTTGAAATCGGCTCGCATCGAGGGCGTTATACGGGGCCGCCGATAACAGTATTTATAACTACAGAGTTCTCCGTGTCATTAGGAAGACTATACATAATAATGTCTATCAAAAAAAAATATTGCGCGTGTTTGGAAATTTGAAACAGTCAATTCCGTAGGTGCGGTTTAGGATTTCAAAGCAATAAATTATCGATTATCTGGAGACTACCGAAAAATGTTGGACAACAGAAATAGAAGAGGTCGTCAATCATCGGAAGAGAACATGAAATGACACTCTGTTCAGAACTGAACTGAAAGTCAACATTTTAATCCCACAGATAATTGCGATTGGCTTCGTCGAGAAACCAATCTATTTTTTCACTGTCGACCGCATTGCTTCAGTTGAAAGCCTTATATGGCCAGTATTGGAACTATCCTGGTACAGTTTTAAACTTCAAAAACCAGACGAAAACCGTCACAGATGACTCCTTTCCTTGAAAAGGAAACAGATTCGATACTCACCCATCAATGAAAATGAAAAAAACATATATTTTTGGCTCTCCTTTCCTGATATTCGGCCATAACCTCAGTTAATTTTATACAGGATGTTCCCTCCCCTTCCCTCAACGAATAACACCTTATTGTTAAGTGGTTGTCAATCGTCCAATGCAACAGCAAATTAGAAACATATGTAAAAGTTGATTGTGCTTCTGATCCACGAAGAGATTCCGCAACTTTCTGCAGTTCGCGTAGTCTTCCACGCGATACGTGGAGAAGAGCTGGGAACAAGCTGAGAATAAAGAGGTCGAATTCAACATGGCGGCGGATGTGGTTGGGTGTTATGGAAAATCACAGCGAAGCTTTGGTATAAAACCCCGAACAGGAAGGGAAATTGACATTTCTTTCATTTTAAACATATTTTATGGCATTTGGTGACATTTGGACTTAAAACAGATGGAAATGGCAGCCCCAAAATAGAGAAATGAAGGCCATATTTCTCTTCATGTCAGAAAGCTGCAAAAAGAGGTACATGCGCGTGGAGAAATCCTGTTATAAGCGGGTTATTTTGTTATGTTTCTTCAGCCTGATCTTTTATTTTTCTGACTTTGCTAGTTCTTAAGTTCGTATGCTAGTAAACTAAGTTAATGATTAATCTGATAACTCAGCTACTTGCTGATTATGCTCATGCTACTGTTGAAAAGTTTTGCTCGGCTGGAAATTCGAAATTTGGTGTGTGTGTATGTGTTTTTAAACAGGAGCCTCTTTTTATTTACCACCACGATACAGATATATTCCCTTGCCGGTATATATACATTTTATGGAAATGTATATACATCTGTCTCAATATATGCTGATTTATGATGCAAAAGTAATTAAAAACTGATTTAAGCATCAGTTTGTGGTCTTCAAACCACAGTGCATAAAGCATGTGCAAACTTGTGAAAAGTACAAAATAAGCACTTAGGGTCCACCTAAGGGTGAGTCCAGCATTTGGGTTACTTTCTAAACTTCTTAAGCGCTTCAATTAAGCAAGCCAGCACCCTCAGCTATTGGAAGAAGTGTCTATTGGTAGAGCTGTCTGCCTAGGAGAATTATTCCCATAAGCAGACACCAAAGGAAAATAGGTTATGTTATGTAAAAGAGAAACGAGGAAAGTAGACCATAATGAACATGGCCATAATGTGACACTACAAATGTTATGTCCGACTATGGTTTTTCTGTGGACAAATTGAGATTTGACAAAACTGATCCCGACTGTTCTGTTGCTCTGTAAAAGGTCATATTTTTATTGATTTGCAAGATAAAGACAAATTTCATTGCCAAGAGTCAATTATTATGCATGGGGTGGCCACTTACAGGAGTAGGAGAAGAGCGTAAACAAAAGAAAAATCTAATTTTCATTGGTATCACATAGTATTGTGCTTTCTCAGAAATTGTTTTCATTGCTGCTCCTTAAATTAGAGCTTCACAGAGTCCCCATCTAAGTCAACAGTAAGTGCTAATTGAACCCCTTAGGAAAAACTTTAAGATACAAACTCCAAATTCTTGCATCATAAACTTACAGTACGCAGTTACTGTGTGGTGTTTGTTCCCTTGTTAATGAGGCTCAGTTCTAGAAAAATTTAACCAGTTCCTCTTAGTGAAAGGGTGACTGTGATTTTTATTACAAGCAGATTGAGAAATCTAGTTTAGCTTTTTCATTTTAACATGCTACAAAATTTACACTGTAGATTTCAGGATGCAACCTTTCAATTCACCTATTATGATACTTACCAATCAGATGATGCTTACTTTGTGTAATGTTGTTGAGGATTTTGATGAATGCACAATTGATCTGTGAACAAATTGTGTCATGATATTCTCAATAGGGTAGTTTAAATGGTTCATAAAGAGAGGAATTCCTTCTGCCATGGTTCAGTGTGTTCGCACTCATCATCAATGGGACCATGGGAATGGGATGCTTACTTGCATTCAGGAATTGGTTAACATGAATCTAACTTTGTTGTGAAATCTGTTATATGATAAGCTGAATTATGCACAATGTTGATTGGCTCTTATCTATGATCTGTTGGGGTACAGATTGATACCTCAATGAATCACTATTAACAACATTTTGCTTTTTTATCATATGAAGCAAATAGAATCCCTGTTGCTGAGGGTCTGTACTGTAATACACAATGCATGTCTTTTTTTGTTGTCCTTACCACATTATGATGTCATCTGTGATCTCTTACTGAACAGAAGCATGAAAACATGGAATCTATTTTTTGATCAGAAAATCTTCATCCTATGTTAACACTTGTCATAATTTCTATTCTTACCCTTACCCAAATCATATGGGGAAGGTCTGCATTGCAGACTGATTGTAGGAGACCCTTATCAATGGGGAGAATCAGTGGCTAGTTATGCCCCAGTCAATTTTGATTATTCAACCAGCAACCCATGTGTATTTGGCTGTGTCTTTGCTGAGGGGGTGGGTAATTTTAACCTTGCATGGTTGAGGTGGGGCATTTGAACTGGAAGTGTCAAGTCTTACAAGTGTCATACACATGTTTTAAATAAATGGAGGAGTTTGATGGTAAAGGGTCGGCTTTTGTGAGTTAATGGCTTCGAAATACAATTTTCACATTATAGAATGATGCACACAATCAAATACCCAACAGAGGGTTTTATTTCACTGTTTTGAAATTTTTGATCAGTCAAAGTTCAAAGTATGATCATGATATTTTTATTTGTTTTCAGAAGAATCTTTCACACTGAAGAAGTAGAAACAAGACAAAAGTAGAACTGTTTTCTTACCAGAATTGTGAAAAAGAGGAATGTTCATGCTGTATCACAATAAGAAAAGGTACTCAAAGTTATTTAGAACAGTAGAGGTTGGTATGTTAGTGAGTTTTCTTGACACTTGAAAGGACATTTTGAGAATTTCCCCCCCCCCCTTAGTGAATCATTCATGTTTTGCAACAAGTCATGAAAGATCAGTAAACTTGTTTGCCTTGTTAGATTTTTTGACTGTGTATTTCACAGAGCTTCAGGGGTTGTAAAGTACATTTGGTTTTGTGATGACTGATAGTTTATTGATCTAATGCTACTTTGATGTTATGGACCAAAGCAATTCTAAAATATTATAAGTGCTAGCTCAATTGGCTGACACAGTGGTTGACTAACCAGTGGACTAACTGACAAACTGATTGCTTTGCTGAGGGAATTCCCAGATAAATAGCATGATTTGTCCACTCAATAACTAATTCACTGACTGCTGCATAACTGAACCGGTGAATGTTGGCAGACTAATGTGCAGACTGGCTACTCAGTAGGCTGACTCTGTGCATGACTGACCAGTGACCAACTGTTGGGCTGGCAGGTTGACTGTCTTGATAGTTAACTGACCATCAGACTGACTAACCTAGTGACTGCTAAGGTCGTATCCACTGACAGATGGACCTCACAGGTAGTCCATCAAGTGTCTAAGACTCTGGCTGGCTAACTGATCTAGTAATCAACTGGTTTGCCAAGGGTATGCACCCTTTACCCTTCAACTCCCAGAATAAATTTGTAATTCTCCTTACTGTTAACTATACAATTCTTATAATGTTAGTTCAGAGAATTTAGTGTTGGATCATTATCCTCAAATTGATCTTTTACTTTATTCTCATCACTTGTCTAGTTGTTATTGTTTGCTAGATATTGTAAGGAGAAACTCTGTCTTGTTCACTCATGGGAGTTAAAGGGTTCACAGGCTAAGAGATGGCATGGCTAGATCACCAAAATGACTTAGTCACTGATTGTCTGAGTGGCTGACTGACTGACTAAAGCATGAGCTGACTGACGTACTGACAAACTGGCTGAAAGAGCGCCTAACTGATGGCTGGTTTTACTGAAGGACTTTTGATGTACACTGAGAGTTAGCTTGAATGTCAAATTGGCTGACTGCTCTGCAGAGAGATTCATCAATACATGTAGCTGACTAATGGCTTTCTTTTTAAAGATTCTCACTGCTCAAGTATGGCCAAACCTGGATTAAAGTGCCTGGGTAATTGGGACATCAGTTGGATTAGAGAAGTGTAGCTCCTGTACACTATCAAGACCTGCAAAGTAACACAGCCAATTGACAGGACATAAAAAGGAGATAAATAAGATAGAAACCTGGCAGGTCAGTGTGTAAAATGATAACCTTTTCTCAAAGACGCAATGTAATTTTACAAAAAGAGAGCTTGAAACAATCTACTGGATGTTGAGATCAGTGAGGCAAATTCATCAAATCTGCCCAAACACACACATTCCTGCAGTTACCTTATCACAGAGATTCAGAAATAAGTCATTAATGCAAAGGGGCAATACTTTCTGGGGACGGGAAAAAATCCAATTTCAAAATCTTTCGAGATCCATGACCCTTCAAGCAGCCTAAACTAGACCTGAGGAGCTCTGGTGCTTGGGTCATAGACTTTTTATTTTTTTGAGCTGAATTTAATGAAAAGGAAATGACATTAAAGTCCAGTTCCATATTGAGACAGATGCAGGAGTACTTGAAATAATTAAATCATATGTAGCAGCTTCCACAGAAAAAAGGAAGGGGAAGAGACAAAATTTGATACATTAGCGTTTTTTAACACACCCCCCCCCTTGGGACTCGTGCGTGATAACGTCATAATCAATGCTCATTCGAGTTGTACTGCAATAGCTGATATTTGTATTGATTTCTCAGGCCATTTTATTGGCGGGTACTTTGCATGACTGACTTCTTGAAAACTAGGTTGAAGCTCGTGCTAAAAATTTGATAGTCAACGCTTTTGAAGTACCATTCATGAAGCTGTAGGCTGATGAAAAAATAGACATCCACTTGTTTTCTCTTCGTCGAATAAAAACAGAACCCATGCTATTTCAAAAGGCATTTAGTTTGGTGTTGTTTGGTTCAGTTCATTTTCTCTGTAATATTACAGTAATATAATTAGCATTTACGGTGTCATCACATCTTCAAAGACCGAGAACGTAGTTCTGAAGAGTTTCGAGGTGTTTGAAAATGTGAATAAAATATTCATGTTATGTTGTTCTGTTCTCACTTGAATGTTTTGGTTTGTTTGTTTTGTTGTCTGTTTGTTTGTTTGTTTGTTGTCTTTTAAACAGTTTCCGTGTTGTTGTATTTAATGTGTTACTTTGGGGCCTTTGCATTATTTTAGCCCTTTACCTTGGTGTTTTATCGCACCGTTCCTTCTCTCTAGGTGAATGTTGTGAGTATAAAGGTGTTGACATTTTCCTCTTCTCCAATTTGTTTCAGATTTTGAAAGAAAGCATAGGAGAAGGAACTGATTCAAGATCTCTTTCACTTCTAAAGAAAGGAAGTAAGGCCAAGTATGTATTTTTGTTTGTTGGGATTTGATTTAAATTCTATTTATTGTAGAGTAAGAGGTGTCATATTTACTTTCCCTATTCCCAAGATAAATGTTTGTGGTCACAATTTACTTTTCAACTTTTGGAAGGAAGGCGGACTACCATCTACATTTGCCATATGCAGATCTCCGTTTTCCCACTTTGTCTGATTTTAAAAACATTTATCACTAAGTAACTTTACATTTTGTCTGAAAAACTCGGCCAGCAGTCTTTGCGTCTAATTTCTTCTTCAAATTTCTTGCGTATGTGGAGATGTCATTGAATTCCAAGAGGATGCGTAAATAATTTGCCGTCGGCGGATTTCTTGTTGTTGTTTTGTTATTTTAGAGGACAACAGGGAAATGTACAATTTTTAAGCGCACGTGCTCAGCTATTATTCTGCTCATTAAATCTTTTGTTTCGCCACGTTCTCGTTGCCATAGTAGGTCTGGCTATTATATGGTGCTGGCAAAGAGCTTAGAGTTGGGTAACAAGCTAATCTGGTTTCGATTATTGTAAAATTATAAGTTATAATTATTATTGTTGCTACCATTTTCTTCTTCCAAGTACTGAAAAGTTCACAAGTTTAAAATGGAGTTCAGAGGAGAAGAGAGTATCTTTTACTTGTTTTGGTGAGTATAATTGCTGTGTTACTGTGGACATTCTTAACAAAAATCTACGTAATTCGTTGGAATTTTCCGTTTTAGTCATTTGCATCGGCAAGTATTTTCGTAGAGCAGAAAATTGTTTTCCGGTGAATCAGAAATGTTAAATTCTCCCTTCCTCTCGCTTACATCAAAAATTTACGCGCTCATTCTGAAGTAAAACACACACCTTTTGAAATATTTAGTGTTGTTTATTACAGATGTTTTATTGATTTATTTCCAGTTACATATGAAGTAAAAAAAAATATTCATTATATTTTTGTACAGTTTCCTTTAGAATTAAGAGGAAGACAGAAGAAAATAAAAGGTCCAAGAAAGAATCGGCGTGGAAAAGAAGGAGAAGTTTGCTAACATTTCGAACTGTCGCGTGCAGAACTCTTGCAGACGATTGAAACTGGTTTCGATGCAAAATGTAATTGATTTATTTTGAGTTGAGCACTACAGAATAAAACAGCACCGAAGCCGTTCATGGATGGTGGGCGGATCCTTTTCCGAGGTTGACATTTTTGAGGATCAATTCTCCACCCTTAAATAGCATTAAAAATTAACCATCCCAAGTAAGAGATCAGGGGGAATTGTCAACCTTGGAATTGTCAACCTTGGAAGGAAGAAAAACTGGAGGTCCATCCGCCACCGTCCCCCTCCACACCCACCTCTCACAAACAGTTGCTATGTAATTTGAGACGAGTTTAACATTGTGGTACGACATATTGTAGTAAGCATGCGTTTAGTTTGATCATCTCAGACAAACATAATCTTACAGCACGCATGTGTATTAAAAGATGTAGTTTATCACAAGGATTTACTTGTTTGAAATTACAAAACAACTGTCTATGATGAGGTGGGTGTGGTGGGGGACGGTGGCGGATCGACCCCCGATTTTTTCGTTCTTTCCAAGATTGACAGTTCCCCTTGGTCTCTTACTTGAGATGGACATTTCCCGCCGAAAGACTTAGGAAAATGTTTCTTCAAAACACACCATGGATGCCCATCCGTACTTTACGTTATATAATTACACCAGAAGGACAAAGTTGACGGAGGTTTCTGGCTACCCAATTTACACTTATTTTCGAGGTTGAAGTCTTTCTTTGGTCTCTTTCGTGAAAGGTTTGAAATACCTGCGAAGTAAGGAGAAAGCAACGAAATTCTTAATTTCTGTAATATTATTTTAGATGGCTTCATATCTAAATTACAACTTTCCCTTTAACTTTACCACAACAGTTGTACTCACCAGATTGTTAATTATCCAGGTCTCCTTAACGTTTTCAACTTGTAATCTTCGCTTTACTGAAAAGAAATTAAAAAATGCACGAAGTTAAAAAAAATTCCTATTCCACTTACTTTTCAGTGACATTTTAAATACAACAAAATTAAATATTTCCTTTCAACTAAACGAAAACTACGTAAAAGGAGAAAAAGTTTTCACATAATCTGGTTGTACTTAAAATAACATTCCTCGTCAAGGTTGAGTGTAAATGTGCAGGCCAACTACACAGCTCAGAAATAATTCAGTAACGTTTCATTCAAATTTGGTACTTTTTACCTTGACGGAGAGGCAAAAAAAAAAAAAAAAAATAAGGAAAATGAAAATTTTGATTCCTTCAACAATAACAAGTGAGTTGGTTAATTACCAAAAGGCAACACGTGCTCTTGAAGATAACTTTTCACCACCTGCACAGTGTTTGATCGTTTGGCGATAAGAAATCTAAGCTTCAGATCAAGAGTACAAATGCAACCTAAGAGATTTAAGTCAAACGTCCTTTTTTCCGGAAAAGCATTCGAAATTCATTGACAAGTTAAACCCATTGCAGTGAATACCAGTAACAATCCCTTTTTTGCTTTCACAAGGCTGTTTATCACTTGACGACTTCGAAATTTTTAGATTGGAATCAACTAGTTCTGTGACCTATTAGTAAGAGGCATTGAGGTGATTCTTCGAAGAATCACACACCATTGGTTTGTCCTTGATATGGAGTGCTGCTTCGATATCCCAGGTTTACGGCCACAAATGCTGCACTGGACTATGGTCTTCTGTTTTTGATCTATGATACTGCTTTGAGCAAATGCAATCAATTGTTGATTTGATTATTTTTACATAATATTGCTGTCACAGCCAATAACCAGAAACATTTCCACCCTTACATGATATTTGCAAGAGTCAAAACACTCTTGATCGATGGAATGTTGTTAGTCCATGGTACTATTAGACTATAACAATTTATCAGAGAAAGAGTTGAAAAGATTTTCTTGAAAATCAAAACTGGAGTGTTCTCTAAGAATATCATGGCCAGACTGCAAATATCTCAAGTCTTACACCAACAGGAGAATCACAAAACAAGATGCTCTCTCAGACATACAAAATATTTTGTCAATATCATGGAGTCAATTAAGTCCTATAGAACACAGCTCTAGGTTCTCCTTTTTTTTTCAATCTCTCACTGATCAAAGAGTCAGTTAATGAGAACACTTCATGAAAACATGAAAACCGCAAATGTTGTTTCAATTTTCAATTCTTTTAACAATTCTTCATAATCAACAATTGTGTTTGTCCAAGTCCCAGGTTAAGTCTAACTATTTTCGGCTGAATATCTCCAAATCAATCAAATAAAAAACCTTCAAGGCCGAATGCACTGCACAATACACACACCTTATTCAATGGTTTTAATGTAATAAGCGCAGTCATTTTGCAGGTAACAGTTTTTTTTTTCTGAGCCCCTTTGGGGCAGGGGAAAAATTTGAATAATGAGCAAAATGTCCCACTTGTTATATGTTGAAAAATCGTATGATTTTCTAGCATTTCGGCTTTTAGTTTTAAAAATAAATCCTACACCCTAATCTGAACATTGTGTTGAGCGCATAGGGTGAGTACAAAAGACCAAAACAACACAAAGAAAACTATGAGAGTGTTCTTTATGACCAGCAACGAGATTGATGAGTTTAAAATTTTGCTGCTTTAAAAAGTCATGCCTGAAAAAAACTGAAAAAAAAAAACAAAAAAGTTTACCAAAAAAAATACACCAACCTCTGATGCCCTAATAGGATAAATTGATGTACAGTACTATTGGTCTAATAAAATGACAAAATAAAATGAAACCACCGTTACCTTCCACTTAAATGTCTTTTCTCTTGACAGCATGACAATCCTTAGGATCCAACTGCCTCTAACATCAAGATGAGCCATCTAAAAGTTTCTGGTTAATGTATTTCAAAGGGGATCAACTTCTCATTGGCATATATTCTTCAATCCAAGAGGGACATGATAGGCTTGCTATTAAACACCCATCTCTTTTACACAGTTCAAGATCCTTTCAGCACAGTAAGACAGTCCTGTTTCCAAAACAACTTTCACACTCTTCTCTTTATTTTTTGGTGGACCAAGTCTTAGCATCACAGATCAAGAC